AGAGAAATGCAGATCAAAACTACAATGAGATATCATGTCACCCCAACAAGGCTGGCATTAATCCAAAAAACACAAAATAACAAATGCTGGAGAGGTTGTGGAGAGACTGGAACACTTATACACCGTTGGTGGGAATGTAAAATGGTACAACCACTTTGGAAATCAATTTGGTGCCTCCTTAAAAAGCTAGAAATAGAAGTACCATACAATCCAGCTATCCTTCTCCTTGGAATATATCCTAGAGAAACAAGAGCTGTCACATGAATAGATATATGCACACCAATGTTCATCGCAGCACTGTTCACAACAGCAAAAAGATGGAAGCCACCTAGGTGCCCATCAACAGATGAATGGATAAACAAACTATGGTATATTCACACAATGGAATATTACGCAACAATAAAGAACAATGATGAAGCTGTGAAACATCGTATAACATGGTGGAAGCTGGAACTTATTATGCTGAGTGAATTTAGTCAGTAACAGAAGGACAAATACTGCATAAGACCACTATTATAAAAACTCAAGAAAAGGTTTAAACACAGAAGAAAACATTATTTGATGGTTATGGGGGTGGGGAGGGAGGGTGAGGGTTATTCACTAACTAGATAGTAGATAAGAATCATCTTAGGTGAAGGGAAGGACAGCACACATTACAGGGGAAGCAAGCACAACTGGACTAAACCAAAGCTAAGAAGTTTCCTCAATACAATCAAATACACTGAGAGACAGAGTAGCAGGGATGCGAGGTCTGGGGACCATGCTTTCAGGGGACATCTATGTCAACTGGCATAACAAAGCTTATTAAAATGTTCTGCATCCTACTTTGGTGACTGGCGTCTGGGGTCTTAAAAGCTTGCAAGCGGTCATCTAAGATGCATCAATTGGTCCCAACCACTTGGAGTAAAGGAGAACGAAGAACACCAAATACACAAGAAAAGTAGTAGCCCAAGAGACAGAATGGGCAACATTAACCAGAGACTTCATCAGCCTGAGACCAGAAGAACTAGATGGTGCCCAGCTACCACCAGTGAATGTCCTGACAGGGAACACAACAGAGGGTCCCTGATGGAACAGTAGAATGATGGGATGCAGAACTGAAATTCTAGTAAGAAGACCAGACTTAATGGTCTGACTGAGACTGGAGGCACCCCAGAAAGCATGGCCCCTGGACTCCCTATCACCCGAGAACTAAAACAATTTCTGAGGCCAAC